TTTCATTCCTGCCACCAACACTACCATTACCATGATCATCACCACCAGCAACCACCTATTGTTTTTTTTTTTTTTTTTGGTGTATATCTTGTAGTTGCTTTTTAAACAATTTTTATTGAGATATAATTGTCATATAACATATTAGTTTCAGGTATACAACATAGTGATTTGATATATGTATGTATTTCAAAATGATCATCACAGTAAGTCTAGTTAATATCCATCACCACACAGTTACAAATTTTTTTTTACTTGTGATGAGAACTTTTAAGATCTCTCTTAGCAATTTTTATATATATAATACAGTATTATTAACTATAGTTACCATGCTATACCTTACATCACTAGGGTTTGTTTTATAACTGGAAGTTTGTATCTACTGACCACCTTCACCCATTTTGCCCACCCTTCACCCCCCACCTTTGGCAACCGCCAATCTCTTCTCTGTATTTATGAGTTCAGTTTTTTTTTTTTTTTTTTGAGATTCTACGTATAAGTGAGATCATATGATATTTGTCTTTTTCTGTCTGACTTATTTTACTTAGCATAATGCCCTCAAGGTCCATCCATGTTGTCACAAATGGCAGGATGTCCTTTTTATGCCTGAATAATATTCCATTGTGTGTATCTATCTAACTATCTATCTATCTATCCATATCACATTTTCTTTATGCTTTTATCCATCGATAGACACTTAGGTTGCTTCCATGTCTTGGCTATTATAATAATGCTGTACCTGGGGGTGCAGATATCTTTCTGAGTTACTATTTTCATTTCCTTTGGATAAATACCCAGAAGTGGAATTGCTGGATTATATAGTAATTCGGTTTTTAAATTTTGAGTAACCTCCATACTGTTTTCTATAGTGGCTGCACAAATTTACATTCCCACCAACAGTGCACAAGGGATCCCTTTTCTCCACATCCTTGCTAAGACTTGTTATTTCTTGTCTTTTTGATAATAGCCATTCTAACAGGTGTGAGGTGGTATCTCATTGTGTAGCAACTACCTATTCTATGCTAGGCCTGTGGTAGGTACTACAGTAAGTGAGTTTTTCCTTATGAGGAGGAATCCAGGGCCTCAGGATACTTTTGGGTGTATCATCTTTTGCAGAGAGACAGAAAACTCTTATTTGTTTTATTAAAAATGTTCAGAGTTCCTCTTCTCCTCCACAATAGACTAATTCTCTCACGCTGTGGTGGGATTCTATATTTGTAAATCCAAGGAAAGTATGTAAACATACATTTTTGACATAGCTGTATTTCTTTGTAAATAGTTTGTAGTTTCAATCTTGTGTCCTTGCAATTGAGTCTGTCTCCCTTTTTCTTTCTCTCCTTTCCCACTTGTCCAGACATGGTAGACATGGCCATGATGAGGTATGTAGAATCAGTTGTTTGCTATTTAAAATAAAAATAAACTCTTACTTCATTTGGGTCCAGTGAAAACGTTAGTGCAACTACAGAAGATTTATATTTGGCAGGCTATGGGAAACAGATGGATTTCTCTCTATTCTGCTAAATTCTCAGCTATGGAATATTTTCTCGAGTTAAATATAGTAACGTCTATCCTCTTAGCTTTCATCATTCTCTATGAATCACACATCATTCTTCACATCATATTGTCTCTTGTCAATATACCCTTCAGGGTTTCAAAAGGTTAATGAGCTCAGCCTATTTCTAACCAATAAGAATCGGGATTAAGTTTGTCTTCTTTCTCAGAAGTGTTCCCAGTAGCAATATACTCTTCATTTTCCTGTTTAGCCAACGTGGAGAACTGTTTATTTCTTCATGTACATTTCTGTCCTGAATCTTATCTTGACTTAAGTGATAGAGTGATAGCTGTGTCTGGGGTTTTCATTCTATTGTATTTTGACTGTGTAAAGGTTTTATAAGATCAGAATGTCTAGGGTTTTTTGTTTGTTTGCTTTGAACTGAACATTATCCTCAGTCATGCCCCATGAGCTTGCTGGAAACTTGATCTTTATTGACTCTGCCATCTCAGAAAATAAAGAAAATAGGTAAAACCAAAAAGAATAATAGGAAAAAGCTCCTGTGGGACAAGGCTGTCACATGGCAGAATGATTCAGCAATTTTAGGGGAGCGTTACTGATTATGAATCCTTAGTGAATTTTTTAAAAAATCTTTTTTTCATCTTTTAATGAGCATTATTTAGTTAAGATACAGGTACTTTAAATAAGATGATATTGATAATACTTTATTTTTATGATGGAATGTTTTAAGAAAAATTTAATTTTCATAGAGAATGTACATTTAATTTTATAAATAGAAATTATTTCCTTAAATTGAAAAGAACTATACTCTCACATTATTTACCTGTGAGATAATAGAAAATATATATATTGGTCTCTGCCCCTGGTTCCTGGCACAGAACTCCTAAAACCCTTGTAATTTCCTAACTGATAAGAGCATCTTTTGTTCTAATATTTGGTCTTTCACCCTGGTTCCTGACACACAGTTCCTAAATCCCTTAGAATTTCCTGAGTGATAGCAGTGTCTTTTGTTCTAATGAGATGACTCTTGATGAGCTCCCAGATCGGGGCTGGTCACCAGTAAGACTGAGCAATGATTAGAAGCTTGGAATTTTCAGCCCCACCTCCCCATTCTCCAGAGACTGGGAGAGGGGCTGGAAATGGAATTAATAATCTATCATGCCTACGTGTTGAAGCCTCCGTAAAAATCCCAATAGTATGAGGTTTGGAGAGCTTCCAGGTTGGTGAACACCTGGAGGTGCTGGGAGAGGGGCGTGCCTGGACAGGGCATGGAAACTCGTGCCTCTTCCCACATACCTTGCCTTAACGTGTCTCTTCCATCTGGATGTTCATCTGTATCCTTTATCATATCCTTTTATAATAAACTGATAAACAGTAAATAAACTTTTCCTGAGTTGTGTGAGCCTCTCTAGCAAATCAATGATGATCATCAATAATAATCATTAATAAGTATTCTGTACATTTTCTTACATAATTCCTATTACATTTGGCTTATTTGGTAGTGCATTTTTTTCCTTGAAACTTGGCTTGTATATTTCAGGACAAGTGTTTCCAAATTAATTAGTGTCATGTTCATACTTCTCTTGTCAGTTCTAATCATTTGTTTAAACTGAGATTTCCCTATTTTAAGATCATTACTCTCTGTTGATAGGAGGGAATGTTTGAATTTCGCAATAATATATGTATTGTGTATTTGAAAACATGTTGAATATTGATTAGTTAGAAATTGTAACCTCTAGGTGGGCACAGAGAACATGTCTCTTATTCACCATTGCAACCTTTGCTGCCTCACACAATGATTAATAAATATTTGTCTAATGAATGAATTGAAATCTAGTCTCTCAGAATATTTTCCCATCCATAGTTTTCATCCAGACAGTTTTCATTCTTTTAAACCACAAATGATTGTCTCTAATAATGAGCATATTTATTAATTATTTTATTTCCTATATGTGGACCTTAGTGTCTATTCAGAAAATTGAAACCTATATATATTGATTTAAAAATGGGCCATAGTGGGTTTTTTCCCCTTTCCCTAACATTTTATTATGAAAAATTTCATACAGAAAAGTTGAAAAAATTGTTCAGTAAATACCTATATATCCACCACCTAGATTCTACAGTTAACATTTTAATGTATTTGCTTTATCAAATATCTATCCTTCTATCCATCCTCTATCAATCCATCTTCTTTTATTTATATATTTCAGAGAAATCACAGGTATCAGTACACTTCACCCCCAAAACTTCAGAATTCTTCTACAGTGTTTATAAATAGAATGCTTTTGGAGTGTGACTATTTGAAATTATGTGGATCATTTGGAACAGATAATTGCTGGAAAATTAAATTCTATCATCTTACTTTATTTTCCATACTGAGATTGGAAGAGCAGATGAGAAAAGGAAAAAAAGCAGCTTAGATCTGTATAATTCTTTATAGTTTACAAAGAAGTTCCATGTGCATTATCTAATTTGATCCAATATTATTAATAGTAGTAGTAGCTAACAGTTACTGAATGCTTGCTTTGTGCCAGGTGCTCTGCTAAGTTTACCTTTAATGAAGGTACTATGCTAAATTCTGTTTATCCCACTGACAATTGGTTGTCATTTATTTTTCAAATGGATTGATTTGTTCACTTAAAAAAATGTCAGCCCTGTGACATGTCTTTTAAATTCACATTTGTCAGCTACTGCTATAGAGTGAAGTCTTTGGTATTTGGGTTCCTGAGGACAAAAATATTTTCTTGGTGTTCTATCTTTATAGGTTGCTATTCATAATAATATTTGAGCACAACTTAGGAAGAGTTGCTGAAAATATTCCTGTGTTCTTTGATTATCTCATATATCTCAGTCTCTAATATCCAAAATGTTGCATGACTTTAAAGGCAAAATGGATTCTATAAAAATCTGTATCTAATAGTTATTTCTTCTTGGATTATTAATTAATTATTAATATGTTATGAATAATAATAGCTACCATCTTTTGTATTTACTATGTGCCGGATCCTGTGATTTATATCCATTCTATATTTAATTCATGTAACAATCCTGTAAGAGTTGAGGAAGCTAAGGCACAGAGAGGTTAAATGGCTTGTCCTGGATCATATGGCTAGTAAATACAAGAGCCAAGACGTGAATGTTTCAGCTCCCAAATCCTTGCATTTGACCACTACCCTAGTGTTTTGCATAGTATATATGATCCTCAGACCACCTGCATCATAATTTCCTGGAGTGATTATTAGAAATGCAGATTCCTGGGGCTCACTCTAGACCTGTTGAGTCTCTCTATGGACGAAGTATGTTTTTTAGTCATTCAGTCGATTCTTTTGTGCACTAAATTTTGGGAACCACTGTGCTGTGCTATTCTATAAGCATTATCATGTTTTAATCTTTATTAGCCTAGAAAGATAGCCATAATCAATGAATCATTCTTTTCCTTGGACTACATGACATTTTGGATTGATCTTTATGCTTTTATCTTCACTTCAAGATTGTCATGGATTTTAAGCACCCGGATGGTGTCACAGTGCCAGTTATGTTGCCTCGTCGGAGTTTGCTCCTGATGACAGGAGAATCTAGATACCTTTGGACTCATGGGTATGTATTGAGGTGACCTTGACAACAGGATACCTTTTGCTTTGTGAGAGTTCTCATTCTTCTCCGCCTGAGCCACCAGAACCATGCCCCATGCCTGCACTTGAGGCTTCTGGGTTTAAATCCCCAGGAACATCTATGTCTTTTTTTTTTTTTAATTAACCTTTTATTTTGAAAAAAATTTAAATTTAAAGAAAAATTGCAAGCATAGTACAGTGAACTCTCTTCACCTTTCACCTCGATTTACTAATTGTGAACATTTTACCATGTGTTTATTTCTTTCTCACGTGTTATCATTATTATTTTTGCTGAGTTATTTAAGAGTAAGTTGCAGACAACCTATTCTCTTTACCCTTACATGCTTCATTGCATATTTCCTAAGAGCAAGGACATTCTCTGTATCAGGAGTTGGCAAACTATGGCTTGTGGCTAAATTCAGCCTTTAGCGTATTTTTATACAGTTCTTGAGCTAAAAATGGTTTTACAGTTTTAAAGGGTTGTGAAGAATAAAAACAAAAACAACAAAAAATATGTGACAGAGACTATATGTGGCCCTATATGCTTAAAATATTTACTATCTGGCCCTGTTACAGAAAAAGTTTGCCAATCCCTGTTCTATGAAACTGCAGTGCAATCCTCAAATTCAGGAAATTCAACATTGAAAAAATACTCTGATCATTCTCTTATACAATCCAGGTACAGATTTTGCTAGTTGTGCTGCATAGTACTGTCAAAGAAAACCCAGGGCCTGACTAGTTAAAGCAGCAAAGACAGATTGTACTCAGGAACTATTGCAATAGAGGAAAAGAGACCACAGTTTTGAACTGAGCTTAATTTCAAATACAGCAAGGAAAAGTGGGGATTTATAGCCAAGGAGCCTGGGGTTAGGGGTGGGGCAGTGTTGGTGGATAGAAAATTACTAAGAGGAAACATCAGTGGTAAGGGGGAGATCTGGCTAAACCGACTACAGGATTCTTGTTGAAAGCAGGCCAGGGTGATCAGATATCACCTGGGGGATAGTGGTGGATGAGGAATTTGGTCAGATATCAAGGATAATCAGATACCGAAGGTAGGGGATTCTGGCTAAACTGACTTCGCAGGATTCTTGCTAAAATTGAGCTCTTGGAGGGCATGCCCAAGGCTCGGGCCTAGTCGGGCTCAGAGGAGCCTGAGTAAAGTTTGGTGAAGGAGAGAATCTTTGTCAGGACTTCATGGTAAGTTTTCCCTCTGATCTAGAATTTGGTCTGTGATCCTGCATTACATTTAATAGTCAGTTCTCTTTAGTCTTCTTTAATTTGAATCAATTTCTCAACTTTTCTTTATCTTTCATGACATTGACACTTTTAAGGAGGCCAATTGTTTTATAGAATGTCCTTCAGTTTGAGTTTGTTTGATTGAATCTAATCTGAAGGAAATGGATTATGCACTTTTGGTGGGAATTCATCATTCATTCCTCCTTTTGAGGAGGGAACATCACACTGCTAAAATTTGCATATATTGTCACTCGAAATATTGCTGAGTTCTGTACTTATTAATACTGTCCTGCTTAGAGATTTTAGCTGACAGATTTTTATAAGAGTTCAAGGAAATGAATGTGTAAATGAATTTGTAACCTGTCCTAAATGTGCGCCATAAAAACAGATGGCCTGATTTTGTGCACTGAGGCTTAAATTTACCTGATTTTTTTTTTATGGCCATTTTGAATATTTTTACTTGCAGTACATGAAAGTGATAATGTGATCCAATGGTTTCAAGTATTTCTGGAATTTTGAGAATATTCATATTTTCTTTTTTAAGAAGCATTTTTACTATCCATGACATTTAGACTTAAGAGTAATGCTATTACAGCAAATACAAAATAAAAATTACTTTTCATAGGCGTATGTTATGAAAATATTTTAATCTGTTCTGGGTAATGGTACAGATTAATTCTCCTAAACATTTTTGATCACATTATTCTGTTGTTCAAAGCATATTGTGCTGTTAAATATTAAGAGTAGTATCTCTGGAAGATTGAATTGCAGGTAATATTTATTTTTAAACCTTTCTCTAGAATCAAAATTCTCTACAAAAATTTCAGGGAAGAAAACTTCAGTATTATTTTTAAAGGTTTCCATTGATAGCCGTTGCCTATAATGTGATTTTGTGTGTGTGTATTAGGAAGAGAGAGAAAAGGAGGCACAGATAGAGACAGAAACTGAGAGAGACTGACCAAACAAATGGCATACCAAATATTGAGATATTCATCAGAATCCCTGGGTGGAAGGGAGAAGAGATTGAAAAAGTACATTTAATATGCTTAAAAATATATGTAAACTATAGGAAATAAACCTTGATAAAAAATATTTTGATATCTGTGCTAAATTTAAAAAACACTGTTAAGGGATCTGAATTGAAGAAAGTTGATTAACATGGCCTTATAATATTAATTTGAAATACTTTTAATTTTATCTAGTTCAAGTTCACTATTCTAGCCACCATGCCCTAAATCAAAGGTGGCCAACTAGCAGCACATGGGTCAAATACAGCAGTCAAGCTATTTGGCTGGGGCAGTAGTGGTCCATATGGTAGAATTTTTTTTTAATTGCCTACATATAAAAATCAGCAGGTTTCACATAAAAATCTCAATTTTCAGTTTCCTTTGAAAATTGAGAAGATCTGACAACATTGGGCACAGTATCACTTGGCAGCAGTGGCTGAGACTATCAATGGTCTTCCTTAGAAGAAGTCTTCATTTTCAAGTTCTCTACAGTTCCTGCCACTTTCTGTAACTCCCTGAACTAAGGCTCAGTATCAGTTGTCATTTATCACGGTGCTTTCACTATTGTTTTTATCTTATAACAGAGTTAAAATTAAATATTTCTTCAACTCATGTTTGTATTAAAAGTAGGAAATGGAAAGCTAGAACGAGTGAGTATGTGTGTTTTAAGAAAAAAGAAAGAGAACACTTTGTTTTTTGGACATGAAGTTTATTCCTATTTGTTTAGTGGCAAACAATATGTTTCTAAACAAATCCACCTGCTTCACTCTTTTTTGTTATTTGACTGGCCTTGGGAGGCATTAGTTCATGAGTTTATGTGAATTCTCCTTTTAAATTATTTTTGGAGCATTTTCTTTGTGCCAGGCATTGTTCTAAAAGCTTTACATATATTAACTCATTTAACTCACACAGTCACAGTGGAAAGTTTGTTCTATGGTTTTGTCCCCATTTTTAAAGGAAATTGGAGCATAAAGAGGTTATATAATTTGTTCAAAGTCACAAAACCATTAAGTGGCAAAGCCAAGATCAGAAGCCAGGCAGTCTGGCTTCAGGATCTGTGTTCTTAACTGTAATGTTATAGTTAAACTGGTTTGCTCCCTTTCCTCTGAATTTATACTGTGCTTTCTAGCCTTTGCACTTTTGCCAACTCTTAATGCAGTAAATTTCCTTTTCCTTTCCTTTCACTTAATTTTTAAGATACCAAACTTTTACTTCCTTTATAATTCATAAAGCTTTTTCTAACTACAGTAGCCTGCAATAATTTCTCCTTTATCTTAACTCCTAAAGACTGTGTTCTCTCCTACCACCTTGCAATGTCTTTTCTATTGTATTGAACTATTATTTAAGTCTGTAAAAATATTTTTATCTTTTTATTAAATATTTTCTCAGCTAGATTATAATTTGAGTGCAGGGGGGAAAAAGATGTTCAGAGTTGTTTAAGGAATTCATTGTTCTTAACATATGGATTAGCTATTCCTAAAACTCTGAGATTGGTGCCAAAAGCAGTTAAGTACAGGTTGACCTTTGCCTAAAATTTAACTCTAGGCAAGTGAAGTAACTGACTTAAAAGAGCCATAATAGAGAACTACTTAGTTCTCAAGAGAGAAATTCATTTGCTAATAAGAGTTTCAAGATACTCATTGTTGTAAAATATCTTGACTTCGTTCAACACCATAGTTTTGATCATTTTCAGCTATCAGAGTAACAATCATATAAATTCAGGCAATGGTTGCTTAATTTCCTTTAGCACAAAATCTTTGAAAAGAACCATTCTTGCAACTTGTTTTATGAGGCTGGCATTACCCTGACACCAAAACATGTCAAGGACGTTACATCAAAAGAAAATTACAGACCAGTATCTCTCAGAGATGAAAAAAATCCTTGACAAAATATTAGACAACCCAATCCTGCAATATATAAAAAAGGAAATACATGATGATTGAGTGGAATTTATCCCAGAATTGCAAGAATGGTTTAACATTTGGAAACCAGAGAATGTAATTCACCACATTAAAAGAACAAAGGAGAAAAAATATAGAATCATCTTGATTGGTGCAGAAAATATATTTGACAGAATTCAGCATCCATTCATGATAAAAACTTGGCAAACTAGGACAAGAAGGAAACTTTTTCAATCTGATAAAGGGCATCTATGAAAAAACCACAGATAACTTCCTACTTAATGGTGAAATATTGAATGCTTTTTCCTAAGATATTGAACAAAGCAGGGATATCTGCTCTCATCACTTCTATTTAATATTATATTGGATGTCTTAGCCAGTATAATAAGTCAAGAAAAGAAATACATATCACACAGATTTGAAGAGAAGTAAAGCTCTTTATTTGTAGATTACATGATTGTGGATGTGGAAAATCCTAGGGAATTTACAAAACAAGTACTAGAACTAAAAAGTGAATACAGCAAAGTTGTAGCATACGAGGTTAATATTCAAAAATTAATTTTTTTTTTTTTGTGAGGGAGAGCAGCCCTGAGCTAACATCTGCCAATCTTCCTCTTTTTGCTGAGGAAGACTGGCACTAGGCTAACATCCATGCCCATCTTCCTCCACTTTATATGGGATGCCGCCACAGCATGGCTTGCCAAGCAGTGCGTCGGTGCGCGCCCGGGATCCGAACCAACGAACCCGGGGCTGCCGCAGCGGAGCGCACACACTTAACTGCTTGTGCCACCTGGCCGGCCCCCAAAAATTAATTTTTGGAAAATGAAATGAAATGCTTTTTAAAATAGCATCAAGACCTATAAAATACTTCTTTTCAATACTCTGAATTAATTAGTTAATTATGATGTGGTTTAAAAAGCTATCAGCCTGGGAATTCTGATTCTTTTTTTTTTAATTGAGATATAATTGACATATAACATTATATTAGTTTCAGGTGTACAACATAATGATTCTATATATGTTTATATTGCAAAATGATCATCACAATAAGTCTAGTTAACAACCATCATCACACGTAGTTACAAATTTTTTTTTCTTGTGATGAGAACTTTTAAGATTTACTCTTTTAGCAACTTTCAAATATACAATACGGTATTATTAACTATAGTCACCATGTTGTACATTACATCCCCAGGACTTACTTATTTTATAACTGGAAGTTTGTACCTTTTGACCACCTTCACCTGTTTTGCCTCCCCCCCAACCCCCCATTCCCCACATCTGGCAACCATCAGTCTGTTCTCTGTATCTGTAAGTTCAGGCTTTTTTTTTTGTTTTTTCTTTTTTTAGATTCCACATATAAGTGAGATCATACGGTATTTATCTTTCTCTGTCTGACTTCTTTCACTTAGGGTAATGCTTTAAGGGTCCATCCATGTTTTTGCAAATGACAGGATTTCTTTCTTTTTTATGGCTGAATTATATTCCATTGTGTTTGTAGGGTGTGTGTGTACACACACCACATTTTCTTTATCCATTCATCCGTTGATGGGCACTTAGGTTGTTTCCATGTCTTGGCTTTTGTAAATAATGCAGCAATGAACATGGGGTGCATATATCTTTGTGAGTTAGTGTTTTTGTTTCCTTTGGATAAATACCCAGAAGTGGAATTTCTGGATCATAGGTAGTTCTATTTTTAATTTTTTGAGGAACCTCCACGCTATTTTCCATAGTGGCTGTACCAATTTACTTTCCCACCAATAGTGCACAAGGGTTCCCATTTCTCCACATCCTCACCAACACTTGTTATTTCTTTTTGATGATAGCCATTCTAACAGGTGTGAAGTGATTTCTCATTGTGGTTTTGATTTGCATTTCCCTGGTGGTGTTGATGTTGAGCACCTTTTCATGTACCTGTTAGCCATCTATCTCTGTGTCTTCTTTGGAAAAATGTCTACTCAGATCCTCTGCTGATTTTTTTAATTGGATTGTTTAAATTGACTATTGAGTTGTATGAGTTCTTTATGTATTTTGGATATTAACTTCTTATCAGATATATTATTTGCAAATATTTTCCCCCATTAAGCTTTTTAGTTTGATGTAGTCCCACTTGTTTCTTTTTGCTTTTGTTGCCTTTTGGGAATTCTAATTCTAACAACAGATTGAGTAAAACAATATAACAATGACAAAATGAAAATTAAGAATTGAATTAGATTACATTTTTTCATTTTAGGATCAAATTCATTTTAATTATATGATTGACTTTTTGTCTTTTCTAGATGTGTAGAAAAAACTTATCTGGTGTTTAATAAAGAAATAGCAACAACTTAAATATAAAATTTTACTTTTTTATAATTTGCTGAGATCTTTCAGGCTTAGCACATCCCTGTGAATATGAAATCCACTTCTTCAGAGAGATGCTCTTGCTAGAGTAAATCAAACAGAAAACTTAGCCTCAGAAGATTTAAGTCTTAGGAATAAATTTAACAAAAGATTTACAACACATATACACTGAAAATCATGAAACATTGCTAAGAGAAATTAAAAAGGATCAAAATAAATGAAGGGATAGAGATGCCATGATAATGGAGGAAATTTAATATTGTTAAGATATCAGTTATCCTCAAATTGATCTATGGATTCAGTGTAATTCCAATCAGAATCTTGAGGCTGTTTTTTAGAAATTGATATACAGATTCTAAAATTTATAAGAAAATATGAAGGATCTAGAATAATCAAAACAATCTTGAAACAAGAGAACCATGTTAGAGAATTTATTCTACTTGATTTTTAAGATTTATTATAAAGCTACATAATCACAAAAGTGTAGTATTGGTGTACAGATAGACAAATAGCCCAGTGGGGCAGAATATATCCACACATATGAGATCAGTTGAGTTTTGACAAAGACACTAATGCAATTCAATCTGGAAAGGAAATTTTTCAACAGATGGTGATGGAAAATTGGATGTCCTTGTGGAAACAAAATGAACCTTAATCTACCTCACACCATTCATAAAAATTAGTATAAGATAGATCATAGATTTAAATGTAAAAGCAAAAACTATAAGATGTCTGTAAGAAAATACAAGAGAATATTTTTGCAACCTTGATGTGGGCAGTTTTTTAAGAAAGATTTCAGAACACACTATGAAAGAAAAAAAAAAGACAACTGAACTTTATCAGAATTAAAAACTTCTGCTCATCAAAAGGTACCATTAAGAAAATGAAAAGGCAAGCCACACATAGGGAGAAAATATCCACAGTACATACGTATATCTAACAAAGGATTAGGCAAAAGATTTGAACAGATCCTTCACCAAAAAAGGGATCTATGAATGACTAATAAGCACATGAAAATATATACAACATCATTAGTCATCAGAGAAATGCAAATTAAAACCACAATTTCATACCACTTACCACTTGCCAAAATGGCTAAAATTAAAAACTCAGACAATGCCAAGTGTTGGTGAGAATGTTAAGCAGCCTATAACTCTCATGTATTGCTGGTGGGAGTGTAAAATTGTGTGCAACCACCTTGGAAAACTGGTAGTTTCTTAACCCTATGACCCAACCGATTTCACTCCTAGGTATTTACCCAAGAGTAATAAAAATATATATCAAAAAAGATATGTATAAAAGTGTTCACAGAAGCCTTATTTGTAATGATCCCAAGCTGGGAACACCAAAATGTCTATCAACAGGAGATTTTTGAATAAATAAATTATGGTATGTGCATACAGTGAAATATGACTCAGTGACAAAAGGCCTGTGAACTACATGGATAAATCTCAAAATCGTTATGTTGAATGGATAAAGCCTGATACAAAATAGTGTTAATTGTATATGAAGTTCAAGAATAGGCAAAACCATACTGATAGAAATCAGAACAATGGTTGCTTCGAGGAGGGGAAAGATTGACTGGAAGGGGGCATGAGGGAATTTCCTCGGGTGATGGAAATGTTCTATATCTTGATTGAGGTGGTGATTACATGAGTGTATACATTTGTTAAAACTCATTGAACTGTACACTTAAGATCTGTGCATTTCACTCTGTAAATTTAACTTTAAAAAGGGCCTATTTTCTTACCAAGTGATTCCTTTTTCCCATTTGAAAATTTGATCTTATCAAGGATTCCCTTTTTTATAATCCACAATTGTACTTCTCCCTTCTTATTTTTCAGTCTTTGTTTTACATATTATATCTATATTACAAAATTTCAGAGTTAATCATACACTTTTTCCCCATTATCTCTTGTTTTCTGATGTTGATGTCCTTGATGCTCAACTAGATTTTACTTACTGGAAAAGATGTATTAGAAACTCCAGTGATAATTATGTATTCGTTTATTTCTCATGTTAGATTTTTTATCACTTTTTGCTTTATATATTTTGACGTGGCATTATTAGTTAGGTGCATACAAATACATAGAGTTTTTAGATCTTTCTGTTGGATTGACCCTGTTATCATTATGAAATTTTACGAATTTTTCTCTCTAGTAATACTTACTACCTTAAAGTCTGCTTTGTCTGATTAGTATAGCTATACCACTTTTCTTTTGGTTTTGCTTGGTATAAGCAAAATGCTTGTTTTTTGTGTGTTACATCTTTTTTTCTTTTTATTTTCAATTATTCTCCTTGCTTATATTTAAGGTATGTCTCTTGTAATCAACATATAGTTGGATTTTATTATTTTATCCAGTCTGATGATCTTTGTTCTTTAATGGGATTTTTTAGTCCTTTTACATTTAACGTAATTAATGATATTGGATTTAAATTTGCCATCTATTTCTTTCCTCTTTGCCCCATCTGTTCCTTAGGTTTTTTTGTTGTTGTTCTCCTTTTTGGAATTGCTATTAATTAAATATTTGTTATTAGTCCATTTTTCTCCCTTGAATAATTTGTTAGTTGTACATTCTTTTAATACAATTATCCTGAAGATAACTTCCTTAAAGACACTTCTATTTCTTTGTTTTTCTACAATGCTTAACAATTCAGAGAATCCAACAGATATTTGTAATAAATTCTTCTAGATTTGTTCTATTCCCTTAATATTTTTAAACAACTTGAAATATTTTTATGAATACAGCATTAAATAAATTATTTTGACTGTTGTTTTTAGAATCACACCCAGAAAATTTGATACTATTCAAGCATCCAAGGGTCACAAAAGTGGAATTATCACCAGTGATGTTGGAGACTTAACTTTAAGCAAGAGGGGAATACGGACTTCATTTACATTTAGGAAAGTGAGGCAAACGCCTTGTAACTGTAGTAAGTACATAATTTTGTTTCTACTATAAAATGGAGTAAATCTAGTATGAAAATCTATTAAAATCCATCAGAACCAAGGAGAGCTTTGTCTTAACTTCTCTAATGGCAATTTCCCATATTCTGCCTTATGTTGTACTTACATATACCTTTCTTAACCACTCCCATTAGAGTTTACATTCCTAGAAGTACTGTATCTTATTCATCTTTATTTTCCCCAAACATAGTACTTGAGCATGGTTAGATGCCAAATAAATATTTTATTTATTGAAGTCACAGTTAAGAGTGCTACAGTTGTAGGACATTAAAATATCACTTGTACAAAAATAGGTTTTGTTGGAAACAGCTTGTCAGGTTTCTAAATTACTTCTCATTAACCCAACAGGGAAGTTGGAGATGAGGAATTGTTCTATAGTAAGTAGATAACTCTAGGGAGATAAACAGTGGTTTATATTTTAGTCAATTTGGAAACCTAGAAGGGAATAAAAGAAGTACTCAAAAACTTGTCAAGAGGAAGCTATTTTGAATTGTCTATACAAATAAATCATGACCTGTATTTCTTGGACTAAAGGAATAAAAACCCCTTTTATTTTATAAATAATATTTTATAATGACGGTGATAGTAAGATCCTTTTTATATCCTGGGGGTTTCACTTATGGGCGGTATCTAGCAATAGCTTTTGGATTTAGTCATAATCTTAAAAACATTTAAAATGAAAAACCCTTATTATATCTACAAGGTGTTATCCTGTTAGAAAACTTGAAATCTCTATATTTGATATCTTGATGTTAGTGAAGCTTCAAAGAGGTTTTGGTTTCTTTTGCTAAATGTGTCATGAGGCCTTAAAACATTTAATTTTCTTTATCAATTAAAAATGTTTATTTAGTATTTGATGAGTGTCTAACACTGCCAGTAGCTTTACAAGATATAGAAAAATGAAGCGTGGCTTCTCTTCTCAACGAACTTGAAGTTGGAGAGGCAAGCTCCAACTAAATTTAAGGGATACTATAAGAATTAAATGTAATTAACGTAAGGGATGCTATAAGAAACTCTATATATCAGTGTACAGATTTTTTTTTAAAGTTCAAGGCTATCTTTTGGATACTTTTGGCCAAATTTTGTGGATTTATAACTGATAAGGGTTGCTCCTCCCTTTAGAAAACTTAGATGTTCACAATTTCCAAGAGAATAAAATTTTACTAAGACTAGGTTAGGATAATGGTAATATATATTGTAGTATAATCATAATTCTTACTTAAACAACATAATGTAACCCATCTGTTTTCACATGTATTTTTTCCTTGAAGCTTGGGAGAGCTTGAGCCTTTTCTTAAATGTCCACTTAAAATGTTTAGAGCTTTACTTCACACATTAGTAGGGGCTAGATACTCCCACCCCCATTCAGGCTTTCGCAAGATTTGGCATTCTTTAGTTATGTATATGGAAAATTCCTGAAGCCATCAATGCCGCAGCCCAATTCTTTGCTGCCACGCAATTTCTAATTACTGCCTTAGTCTTGTCTGTGGTTTCTCTGAGAACACTACTCCTTCTTCCTTTATTCTCTAGAAATACTACCTATAAAAAGATGTTGTGTGTCACAGACTTTGGCTGAAGACAAAGGGCAATTATAGCATAGCAGAGAACAAGCAAGGATTTAAAATGAGCATTAAACATTATTGCAGAAAACAGGGAACAACTTAAAAATTAACGTGAGACATTATATCCTAAATGTCCTCTCTCGTCTCCCTGCTTGGTGGTGGTCTTCTGGGGTTTGCTCTTTCTGTTGAAGGAGGCAACACAGTGTAGTCATTGAGAATGTGAGTTCTGGAATCTCCACTGCCTGGGTCAAATCCTGGCTCTACAACTTGCTATCTTTGTCACTTTGAGATCATTATTTAACATCTGTGCTTCAGTTTCCTCTTCTGTAAAGTGGGTATAATAGTACCTATCTCCTAGTGTTACTATGAGAATTGAGACAATATATATAAACTGCTTCAAATAGTGTTCATTAAATGCTTGTGATTACTACCAAATGACACTTTGCTTCCGGATCTTGTTATTCCTCTGAGAGTTCTAGGGCCCCCAGAATTTCTGTCTCTTTTACCTGCCAAGAGAAAAAGCCTAAATCCTGTTAATTTAGCTGAATTTCTTAGGCCAGGCCCATCAAAGTGCTTTCCTGAATAAGAGGACTCTTAGGCATCATCATTATAAGGCAGATACAGAATTGCAGTCATATTTTGTTTCAGATGAATTTTTACCCCTTCTTTTTATAGTAGACCCTTCACACATACAAGTGGACTTGGTAGGTAACAACTATTCTTTTAACTGATAAATCAGAGCCTACTCACCCCTAGTCACCAAATTGGGATTGATTTTCTTTTTCTTTTAAGAAAACTTGATACCTTATGAATCGTTTGGATAAAAATGAAAGGTTTATGTTGTCTTATTTTTTCTTTAGGTTACCCTTTGGTCTGTGACAGCCAGATGAAGGAGACTCCCTCATCATTTCCAGAGAGTAATAAAGAAGCCTCACAACTGGAGCAAGAATATGTCCATCGAGTTTATGAAGAGATCGCTGGGCACTTCAGCAGCACGAGACATACCCCTTGGCCACGTGTCGTGGAGTTTTTGAAAGCTTTGCCAAGTGGTTCGTTAGTGGCTGATATTGGATGTGGAAATGGAAAGTATCTTGGCATCAATAAGGAGTTATATATGGCAAGTAATTGTTGCTTCTGGCTTTCTTTTTGCTTTATTTTCAGTGGTTATTATCACTATCTTTCTCATGATATAATGCTGTTTTTTTAGGTCATTGCAGAAAAATTATAACCAACAGATTGAAAATTAACGAACACTCCTATTCTTTTTTATTCCCCTAGAAATTTATGGGCATGCCATTGTTTGTAATTTTTTTCTCTCCCTTTAGATTTTGCTTTCTAAGAAGATTATTTTATCAGTAAAACTATCTTATATTTATAAAACTCTTTACATAAGAAGGATTTTTATAGAAACCATTTTCTTTGGTTAAATCCTCCTAAGTATGAGAAAGATAAAGTAGATATTTTCATCCATCTTTTATAAATGAAGAAACTGAGGCTCACAGAGGTTATATTACTTCCATGAGGTCATATAATTAGGGGACATAACTGGAACTTGAACCCCTGCCTTCTGATTCCAAATCTAGTGTTCTTTTACTCATAGTAGGAAGAAAAGAAAGGTTACTATTTGTTGGTGTCTTACTGTTGAAGAAACTAAGGCTCAAATAGATTAAAAAATTTGACCAAGAGTACAGTGCTAGACCCACGATTTAAACCCTTCTGTCCGATGCCAAAGTTTCTGTTTTCAGTTGCTTTAATTTCCTTTTTTATGTACACTTTTTTTTCTGCTATGCTAGGAAGTAGGAAGTTCTCAATTGTTGTTCTCAACAACAATGCGCTAGTGCATTGTTGTAAATACTCACGTCAACCCTGCTCTGTGAGGACTGGAGCTTCCCTTTCTCAAGATTAGGGCAGGAAGGACTAGAGTAAGGGAGATGGGTAAGGAGAATGAGGGTAGTCTACATTTATGGGCTATTGTAGTATATCAGGTTGCTTATAGTCTATTTTTACCTCATCCTAGATGTTGTGCACTTACATAGAGAAAGAAAGTTGCTACTGCAGTTAAGGAAAGGTAGAGTTTGTGGATTCAGATAAAAGAATAGCTTTTCATCAAGATAAGACATTAGTGTTCACATATTGTCATCACGTTTAAAATTAAATTGTAGTTTATAAAGAGTAAGGTCTAGTGAGTTAAATTTGTTCATGTTAAAAAGGAAGTAGGTTTTTGATGTGCTGCTTAAAATCACAGCTCTAACCACGGTTCAAAACCAAGTGATAGCTTCTGGTGTTTTAAGGTACTATACAAAAGGTTTCTCAGTAAGCTCTGCTTTTGCACTTTCTTGATAATAACCCATGGCTTTATCTAGCTAGGTATCATTTGTGACAGTGACACTAGGTTCAAGTCAACTTCACTGACTTAGTCATAATGAGAAATAGAATTATGTATTATAAAAGGGAAGCCTGCGCTTTAAAGCCGCCGAGGCTCCAACCTGGATTGAGAAATGATACTTGAGTGTATTTTGAGCAGCCATCTTTGAGCGTGAAACTATGTGCATTTCTTGACATTCGTGAGGGGATGTGACTTGAGACGTTCCTTCTAGGTATTCGAATGTAGGATAGTCTCAGAATCTAAAAAATTATTAATATCACTTTACATATAATTTTCTTAACAAAATGCATTTTTTAAATACCAGCTTGGGCTCTCATGAAAATAGTTTTATGAACTGCTTTTCATTTCTGTTAAGAAGTGTATGTAGTGAATCTGTTCTTATCTGATCTGAACTACACTTCAGCTCGCTCTTCTCTTTAAGATTTCTATGTTCTGGTTAAGAACTTCAGTTACTCTTCATTTCTGTCCACTAGCTGTTGGCTTTATTTTCAGAGTTAAATTTTATAAGCAAAGATTTTATACCTTCAAGAAACTTATTGCCTTGCTAGTAGTACCAATAATAGATGAGATGTACATACCCAGAGCTTGGCCTGGCTCATTCTCACAGTGATTGTTCTGTGCGTTGATCTCAGAGCACATTCAGTCCAAATATGTTTCTTAGATAAATAATTACTTAATATGTGGTATGGACTTTCTTAGTTGCTGTAAATAGTTGAGATTGCAAATATTATAATAATGTCAGGAGTCTATTTATAATTATAAGAATTGGAGATATGTTTATATAGGCCTCTTCTGTACATTTCTATTTTTGTTTGTTTTTTAACTGTTGACTACCTCAATAAAGGAAGGGCCAGAGAGGGAACTAATAAAGTCAAATACCTTCTGTGCGCTAAGTGCTGTGGTGTGTTTTCTCACATACGTAGTCTGTGAGATTGACTACTCCATTTTACAAATGGCAAAACTGACAGTCAGGTTATGACATGCCCAGGGTTTTTAAATAGTGTCAGGGCAAATAATAGAACCTCATCTCCAACTCCATAGTCCTTATTCTATGGTGCTCTGCTAAGAGAGACCTTACAGGCCAGCTGTGGTGACAGAGAGCACCAGGCTGTAAAGTCAGACATGGCAGGAATCACGTCTTTTTTGTTGTTCACTTACTTGGCATGTAATAGAAGCTTACTAATTTTGTTTGTTTATTGAATGGTGAGGAGCAAATGTATGAATTCACTTTCAATTTCTTACATGAAAACCAGAATATATACAGTGCTGTGTCCTACAACCTTGAAGGAAATGTGACAACCTCAAAATGGGTGGACCGTAACTCAGAGTAAGATACCTTTAGGATACATGGATTTCTCTTCATATCTAGAATCCAAAACAAGAGTTTTTTCCCACCCCTTGTTCCATATAGTGATAATAACTAAAATTGCATAGCAATTTTATGGTGAGTGAAATATTTAATATACCTTATTTCATTTGATTCTCATATTAACCCTGAGAAGTAGGTAATTTTATGATGAGTAAACAGAGGCTCTGAGATATTAAGTAGCTTTCCTAGGTTGTTTAGCTAGTTATTGCTGAAGCCAGACTTCAAATTGAGAGTTTAGTATGCTCTTTTTACTGTACTTTACTGCCTTTGCCTTTCTCTGCACTTTAAACTATATATTGCCAGTCTGATTTTCCTGTAATTGCATATTTTATTAATAGTTTTTAAAATGTTATATATTTTTAAGAAATAAAAATAATGTGGCCACAATTCAGAAAATAGATGAAAGGTATGCTCTATAATCCTAATAGTAGTTTATTAAACCATTTTATTGTGAGAAATATTCTTCCAATGTTTTTCCTATACAATTTTTATGTAGTGATAAGTATGCATACAATTTGATAACTCATTTATATCACTTAATATTTCCATTTTGATATGTAGTCTTATATAATTCCTGGACTTTATAATATTGTAAGAGGTAGATGTTACTTGTCATTTGCTTGTGTTCAGTTTGGAGCTGTTATAAATAACACTGTAATGAACATGTTGCGAGACAGTGTGGCAAGAAGAAAGAACATGGATGTTTGGAGAGAGCAAGACCCAGGTTAAAACCCTGGGCCACCACTTAGCTACTGTTTGACTTGGGGCAAATCACTTATCTTCTTTGAGATGAAGTTTCCTCATCTGTAATATGGTGATGATAATACCCAACTCCAAGTGTGTTATAAGGGTTCAGGACGTTAATACAAAGAATCTTATTTACTACGCAGTGGGTACTCAGGAAAGGGCAATTTTATTAACCTGTTTAGCTTTTTCCATCTTTTGGATTATTTTCTTAGGATAAATTTTTAGAAGAATAATTATTTGGTCAAAAGTTGTGAACATTTTTATCTTTTTTAAAAAGTGGTTTGCCAAATTACTTTTTTAAATTAGTTGAGCCAGTTTGTACTGTCACCAACACTTTATGAGAGTAAGACTTATCACACTGCACATTTTAAGCTCAACCAGTATGTGTTTTTATGTCATTGATCTCCATCCAACACACACAAATATATAGCTTTACATGAGTCCTTTACTATCTGTGAATATTTATAAATAAGCTATTTTCTATCCTGTTGTTGATATTATGCAGCATTATTAGGGAGAATTTCAAATACCTGGTGTTATCCTTGGTATAAAAACTTGAGGGAATTTAAAAATAGAAAAGGATGAGAAAAAAATAGTGATGATTTGACTGTAATATATGGAAGACTCAGGCAAAATAAGTGACAGATGAAGGTACAGAGCCAGGCATGAGTCAGGTCTACATGAGACCTCGTGCTCTGTGACTGCAGTTTCCCTGTTCTCTCTCGTTGGTAAAAAGGAGTATTCTGTACAAGTAACCGTAAGGGCCTGGCTGGAAGAAGGACATTTTCTCTTGTTTTGTTTGGCTATCTTTCTCCTTGTTCTGTTTTATCTGTGGTTCTCAGATAATAACTTTGCTCCTTTGAGTAACTATCAAGCTCTGTCTCTGGGGATTTGTTTTATAGGCAAGTTGGATTTCTTCCTTTTTACATTTAGCAAGGTATAGAAATCCATCAGAATTGGGAATACTTGAAACTTCTGATTCCATGAACTGAATTTTATTGTAACAAAAGCTGGCAAGCCCCAAAATTTAATATGCATATTATTTGAGTGGTATTGTCATCTTGATATTGTGACTGTTGGCTTAGTGGCATAGAATATTTATGAAAATAAATAAAAGTAAATAAGCCAGTTATGTATCTTAGACACATAAAGGGAGCAATTCATTTTGAATTGTGCCACTGTTGTTGTTTACGGGCCCTTAGTACTTTTCCATCTTAAAATATATCAAAGGGAAATTGCTATAGTTTACCTCTAGCTTGGTACCTTTTATTATTCCTCAGAAATTAATGCAGCTCTGGGATAGAATATAGAAACTGTTTAATCCCAATTAGAAATTGAGCAAATTCATATTAAGTATGACTAGCATGGCTGTGTAATTTAACTCAGTAAGAATTGTTTTGACATGAAGATTCATATTCTATATTCTCAGATGGACTGAGGGAACCCTAATAATCAATGCTTTCTATATCAAAAATTAAATGAGTAAATATAAGCCTGAGGTGGCTACTTCTGTTTGATGAAATCTACTTATACATTTCTTTTCTCTATTGTAGAGATTGGGTTAAGAAGAAATCTCTGGGGATAATTATTAATTATGATTTAACATATTTAACATCTTCCCCTCCCATTCCTCTCTTAATTTACATGTGCACGTTGCTTGTGTTCTCTCTCTCTCCAGATATATGTATCATATTCTTAGAACTAAAGAGCAAAACTGTGTACACAAGCAACAATAACAAAACTAGAGAGAAGATAGGTAGTCCTACCCCCCAAACGGTTCCCACAGAACCAGACACACGCCTAAGGCATGTTATGCCTCACCTACTTGTGGAAATGAAAGGATGCTAATAGCTGCCTTCAGTGCTATCATTCCCATAGGATGGTTTGGTTATACTAAAAGGTTTAATTAAGTAGCATTTTACAAATTTTGAATTCAGCACTTATTCTTGATATATATATACAGGTTAGGTGTTTAGCAGAACAAGACTGAATAGCTTTAAAAAATGAAATAAATTATTTAACTTATAAATTTTTTTGGAATTTTATCTTCTGATTGTACAAGTAATACATAGTGAAAAGTATAAAGAAGTGGGAAAACAATCAGCCGTCCTCCTGCTATCTTGGCCATCACAGTATGGTTTATATAGTAATGAGAGATACCTTAGATCCTCTTATTTGTAGTTCCCCCCAAAAGAATAAATGTCTACATTTATGGGGTAATTTCCATTTTTAAATGTGTGATATTGCAAAAAGATCTAGATTCTGAATGGTGATTGATTAGATGCCAATTAGGACTCTCATTTCCACCCCTGTCATTTTCATTTTAGTCATTTTGTTACATTCATTAATTTGAGTTCTGTTTGATACTTGTTAAGGTAATAAATGCTGCCCTGTAAATTATATATTCTGACTTCATACTGGTTGTAAGAACTGATAATATCATGGTCTTAAACCATTTCACAATGAATATGAAATCTGTCTAATAACTTTATGGTGAGGGTTAAACCCATTGCTCTTAATTTCTCATGACATTTAAACAAGATGTTATGAAATTCTTTTGTTCTCTATTATAGATTGGTTGTGATCGTAGCCAAAACCTTGTGGATATTTGTAGAGAGAGGCAATTTCAGGCCTTTGTCTGTGATGCGCTGGCAGTACCAGTCCGCAGTGGGTCTTGTGATGCCTGCATCTCTATTGCTGTTATTCACCATTTTGCAACAGCAGTAAGTATTGTCTTTCTCCCTCCCAGAACTTGTGACTAAAGTGGCAGGAAATGTCACTGAATTTTAGTGATTTGGAACTTATTTTAGCGTTTCATTTATTCCCATCCTCTTTTCTTGTTGTCATTTAATTTGCCCCATTTGTTAAGAAAGCGTGTGGAATGGAGATGAGCTACATGGGAGCTGTGCTACTTAAACAGAGGCCTGGCGGGACTCTGTGCTTTTATTTCTGCATGTTTCTGCCTTTTTCCTGCCCTGAGTCTTACTTATCTTCAAATGCCTTCCTCAAATCCCAGAGTCACAGAAATTTAGCTATAAGAGACTTTAAGAGATCATCGGCTCTAGGCCTCTTGATACACTCTGTCCTCAGCCTCTGATCCTCTTCTCTATTTCTGCTTCTCAACTTTCTCACTTCTTACTCGCATCCCTGATATCTGAGTCTCACTTCCTTTCTGTTCTGTTTTTCCTCTTTCTCTCCTTTCCTTTTTTCCCCCTTCAATCACAGAATATAATTCCTCTTCCGTTTTTTTTCTTTTTTGTTATATATAATATATGTTAGATTTTTCTGGGCTGTTCATCTTAATTGAAAACAGTCCTATACTTGGTTATATTTTCCTATTTCCTGTCTGTATCGCCTCCTGGATGATAAATGGCAATATTTTTTTCTTACTAGGAGCGTAGAGTGGCAGCTATCCAAGAACTCGTTCGACTCCTGAGACCTGGTGGGAAGGCACTCATTTATGTCTGGGCAATGGAACAAGAATATAATAAGAAGAAGTCCAAGTATCTTAGAGAAAATAGAATTAGCCAGGGAAAGAAAGGGGAGATCAACAATGATACATCAGTGCAAGAGTTGCTTGTGGAGCAAATGCCTGTTGTGGGCAACCAAGATTCAGCATGTTCTGTCCCCTCCACTAATGATTTTCAGGAGGGAGGATGTAATTCAAGGGAAGTTACTAATTCTAAGCTGCCTATTCACACGAACAGGACTTCTTTTCATTCTCAAGACTTACTGGTTCCCTGGCACCTTCAGGGAAACCCTGGTAAAAACAAACTTGTTGAGCCATTTGGTGCAGTAGGATCCCATGACCCAAGTCCTGTGTTTCATCGTTACTACCATGTGTTCTGTGAGGGAGAATTGGAAGCTGCGTGCCAGACTTTGAGTAATGTCCGCATTCTGCAAAGCTACTACGATCAGGGGAACTGGTGTGTGATTCTTCAAAGGGTCTGATTATCTCTATGAACGTATCCTATACAGGGAAGAAATGCTGAGCTTTTTTTAAAGACGACGACTAAATTAATTGTCTTTTTAGTTAAAGAAAAAACTTGTGGAAAAGCACCAAAAGAGAGTGCCTGGGAGAAATTTGGAAGTAGAGATTAGTTAGGAAAGTGTACTACTATCGCTGACCTCATTTTATCCATAAGTATAGGCTTCTCCTGTAGGGAGAACAGGGGTGGTTTTTAAAAGCGATTGAAGTGGTTTGTGAAGTATTTGAGATCCTGGGGTAAGAGTACAGCATTTTGAAGATTAACTTTTGTTATAAAATGTTACTAAAGGAACTAAATCATGTAGAATTTTAGTGAATTAATCATATAATATTTTAATAAAGAAAATATTCCTGTTTAGTAGAAAATTGTCTGAAATTTTATCTGTAATTGTTAGCTCCATAAAATCATAGATGGTAACCACTCTATCACCACACCTTACTAGCACAGGGCTTGATTCATAGTAGGTGCTCAGTAAAATTTGAGTCAATCAGATAATACCCATATGTTAGCAGGAGCTTCATTCAACAAGTATTTATTGAAGCCCTACTATGTACCAGTTACTATTTTAAGTACTGGGAGGGGAGCAGGAAACAAGAAAGAACAAAGCCCTTGCCCTCATGGAGCTTATATTCTAGAAGGGAAGACAGACAATAAGCAAACAAATAAATAGATACTATGTGCCAGATAGTGATAAATGCCATGGAAAAAAAATAGAATGGGGGTTTCACTTGGGAACAAAAGATTATTTTTAAAGGGCTGAAATAACTGCTAATCCTGACTGTAGTTTATTACCAAGAGTTAATTGATATACCTAATGCATTGATCTATGTGCTAAAGGCAGCCAAAATATGCTTTTTTAACTCCTTATTGAAATAGTAAAAGTTAGAGTTGTCAGTCAGACCTAATTATGCCCTTACAGCCAAAGCTATGGTGTCATTATTGGGTATTTCTTGTTCATTCAGAGTTTGTTCCAGTCCAGGTGCAATCAGGAGTTATTTCTTACCTACAAATATTTCATAGTTACCCAGTTAACTTACCACTTAGATCAAGTTTCCAGAAGGAACAAAGGTAGAAAGTTAACCATAGGTCAAATTATCATGCTGAAGGGAAAGGTTTTTCTTTTTTTAATACTTTACTCCCAGCATGCATTGCTTTTGTAGTAGTAATGATTAAGACTACTTAAAGAAAAATTGATTTCTGTGAATGATGGCTGCCTAGATAATTATATATCTTGTTACTAAATGTTAGTGATGCATATCTTCAAGCATCAAGCTTGCAGAAACTTGTAGTGATGAATAATAGGTCTTAGATGAGATAATGATTATTTTTTCATGGAATATCAGTACAAGATTATGATTGTTCCCTCCATATGAATTTATAAGGTTTATGATATGGGAAGAAATAATATAGGGCTAAAAATAGTTTTATTTCTGATACAAATTCTGGGACTTTACATCACAATTTGAAGTTCAACTCATACTAATAAATTTTAAAATCTAGATGAAGTAGATGATTTTCTAGGAGATGCAAATACCAAAATTAACTCAAGAAGAGATAGGAAATGCAAGATGTTGAAGAATAGCATAAGAATTCAGAACTTGGCCCTTGAATCAGATTTCGTAAAGTTGCATTCTTGATCTGCCATTCTTTTAGCTACAGGACTTGGGGCAAATTCCTTAACTTTTCTGTTTCAGTTTTCTTAACTAAAATTTGAAAGGTTGTTATGAAAATTAACTGAAATGATATTTGTAGAGCTCTTAGAATAGTATAAAAATATAGTATGCATTTGGGAAATGTTTATTATTATTACTCCCAAAGAAGGCCCACAGGAGTTTTAGATATTGAGTGATGTCAAATCCAATTTGTTAATTGTGTAATAAAAATCTATGCTTTTACTGATTTTTTTTTTTTTTTGTCTGCTTGTTCTTATCAGTTGTGACAGATGTATCAAAATTTCCCACTATGATTGTGGATTTCTCTGTTTTTCCTTCTAGGTCTGTCAATACTAATAGTGCAAAACTGGAAAAACTTCAAATGTCCATCAGCAGAGTGAGTAAATTATGGTCAGTTCATACAAAATGTTACTACACAAGCAATGAAAGAGAATAAACTATACTTACAAGTTACATTATGAATGAATCTCAGAAACAATGATATGTAAAAGAAGCCATACACAAAATAATACCATAGGATTTCTGCAGAGTTCAGGGGTCTCAAAGACCACCCTCACTTCTGACACCAACTACAGAGTTCAGGAGTCCCCAACAGAAGTAAGACCGCCCTTACTTCTGTTGCCAACTGCAAATTCAGGGGTTCCCAAGAGCATCCTCAGGTTCTATAATTTGCTGGAAGGGCTCATAGAACTCACTGAAACTGTTATACTCATGGTCACAGTTTATTACAGCAGAAGATTACAGATTAGAATCAGCCAAGGGAAGAGGTGCGTGGTGCCAAGTCCAGGAGAGTTCCACACATGGAGCTTTCAGTTGTCCTCTCCCATTGGAATTGTGGGCAGCGCTGACTTTTCCCAGCAACCATGTATGACAGTACACATGGAGTGTCACCAACCAGAGAAGCTTGCCTGAGCCTTGGTGTTCAGTGTTTTTATTGGGTTCACTCATATAGACATGGTTGGCTATCCATGTGGCTGACCTTTAGTCTCCAGCCCCTCTAGAAGTCAGGTTGATACTGCTTGGTGCAAGGGCCCCAGGTAAACAGACGCTTATCAGGCAGGACATTCCCAGGGCTTAGAGATCACCTCCCAGGAGCCTAGGGCAAAGGCAAGACCTCCCTCTGGATAAGGTTAACTCTACTGCACAATTTCTTTTAGGTGAAAGTTCAAAAACAAGCAATAACAAATTATACTTTTACAGGGCTGGTTAATAGTAAACTTTTGAAAGGGGGGAATGAGTGGGCTTTCTGGGGTGTTCACAGTGTTCTCTTTCTCTGGTTGGTGTTTACATGGGTGTTTGCTTTGTGATAATTCACCGAGCTCTACACTTATAATTTGTATACCTTTATGTATGTATAGTATAAACTTCAAAATTTTTTTTTTTTTTTTATAATTTTATTTATTTATTTTTTCCCCCAAAGCCCCAGTAGATAGTTGTATGTCATAGCTGCACATCCTTCTAGTTGCTGTATGTGGGACGCGGCCTCAGCATGGCCGGAGAAGCGGTGCATCGGTGCGCGCCCGGGATCCAAACCCGGGCCGCCACCAGCGGAGTGCGCGCACTTAGCCGCTAAGCCACGGGGCCGGCCCTAAACTTCAAAATTTAAAACAATTTATAAAAGAAAGTTATTTTAGAAGTATCTAAAATAAATGTTTTAAATATATTTTAATATCGGCTTTAACGAGATATAATTTTATATATAACATTCACCAATTTTAAGTGTGCAATTGGATGAGTTTTGACGAATTCATATAGTCATGCAGTCATCACCACAGTCAAGATAGAGAATATTTCCATCACCCTAAAAAGGTCTCCCTTGCCGCTTTACAATCAGCTCTCTCCTGTTATGGCAAAGACTGATCTTTGTATTGCTATACTTTTGCCTTTTTCTAGAATTTCATATAAAGGGAATCATACACTTTTTAGACTTGTATGTCTCTTTTGTTTCACTCAAGACAATACTTTTGAGATTCATCTATGTTCTTGCATATATCAATAGTTTGTTCTTTTTTATTGCTGAATAGTATTCTATTGTATAGATACATCATAATCTGTTTATCCATTCACTAGATGATAGACATTTGGGTTATTTCCAGTTTAAAACTAATAATTTTTTTAAAAAGCTGCTATGCACGTTTAGAAACACATATTTGTGTCTACATGTTTACATTTCTCTTGGGTAAGTACCTCAGTGTTGAATTGCTGGGTCATATGGTAAGTGTATGTTTAACTTTTAAAGACACTACCAAACTGCTTTCCAAAGTGGCCATCCCAGTTTGCATTCCCCTTAGCAATGTTTGCGAGTTCCAGTCATTCCACATCCTTGCCAACAGTTGGTATCGTCAGTCTTTTTAATATTAGCCATTCTAGTGTGTGTGTAATGGTATTTTTCTATATTTTTAATTTGTATTTCTCTAAACACAAGTGATTTGGAGCATTTTTACATATACTTATTTGCTATTTATGTATATTCACTGGTGAAGTGTTGGTTCAAATCTCTTGTCAATTTTTAAAAATCAAGTTGTCTTTTTTTTTTTTTTTTTTGTTTTCTTTCTTTTTGCTGAGTCCCCCCAAAGCCCCAGTGGATAGTTGTAGGTCTATGCAAGCTGTCTATTTCTTCTTGA